CACCTTTCAGCACGCTATGAATCGGATATTCCATGACTACTTGGATAAGTTTGTCGTCGTGTACCTCGATGACATACTTATTTTTAGTAAGACTGTCGAGGAGCACGTTGCACATTTGGACAAAGTCCTCAGTCTCCTGCGACAGCACAAGTTCAAGATCAACGGTGAGAAATGCGAGTTTGGCCGCACCCGTGTCCTGTACTTGGGTCATGAGATCTCCGCGGAAGGGTTGAAGCCCGATGATACGAAGGTGGCCAGCATTCGTGATTGGCCACGTCCTCAGTCTGTGACTGAGATGAGATCTTTCTTAGGAATGACAAGCTACTATAGGACTTTCGGTAAGAACTATAGCATAGTGGTCGCTCCTTTGACTGATCTGACCCGCCTTGACACCCCATGGGAGTGGACAAATAAGTGCGAGGCTGCTTTCAGACACCTGAAGCATGCGTTGACGCACTATGAAGTCTTGAAACTTCCTGATCCTGATAAGCCGTTCATAGTCACCACGGATGCCAGCCAATATGGCATTGGCGCCGTGCTCGCGCAGCAGGAGGGGCCAAAGTTGAGGCCAGTAGAGTACATGTCCAAGAAAATGYCGTCTCAGAAGTTGGCTAAATCCACTTATGAGAAGGAACTCTATGCGGTGTACAAGGCACTCACCCATTGGAGACAATATCTCCTTGGGAGGTTCTTCATCCTCAGGACTGATCATCAGACCCTGAAATGGATGAGAACCCAGCCGGTACTCTTTGATGCTCTCAAGCGTTGGATCGAAGTCATTGAGCAATATGACTTTGACCCTCAGTATCTAAAAGGGGAGTACAACAAGGTTGTTGATGCCTTGTCGTGCAGACCGGACTTCTCAGGTGCGCTGATTACTGAGTTCGATCTGACGGACAATGTTACTCAGTCGTTGGTGAAAGCCTATCGCGAGGATCAGTTTATGTCTGAGATCATACACAGACTTTAGGCGAAGGATAAGGAGACCTCCACCGAGTTTGAGTTGGTCAATGGCTTGCTGTTCCTAGAGAAGGCAGGGAATAAACGATTGTGTGTTCCAAATAGAGAGTCTTTGCGTAGTTTGTTTTTAGGCGAATGTCATGATGCCACCGGCCATTTTGGGTATAAGAAGACCGCAGCCAACTTGCTGCAGCGGTTCTGGTGGCCCATGATGATGCGAGATGCGCAGCTGTATGTGGAGACTTGTCAAGTTTGTCAACGGGACAAGCCACGTACTCAGGCTCCTCTTGGGCTTCTGAAGCCCCTTCCGATTCCGGAACGGCCTGGTGAGAGTCTGTCCATGGATTTCATGGATACTCTGATCACCAGCAAGAGTGGAATGCGTCACATCTTCGTCATCGTGGATAGATTTAGTAAGTATGCTAGGTTAGTAGCCATGCCAGAAATAGCAAAGACGGAGTACGTGATTAGAATGTTTAAAGAGAACTGGGTCAGGGACTT